TTCCATTAGAGCCATGGTTTTGCTAAAGATTACCTTAATTAATAATGCTAGCTACTAGTTCCTGAGACCATGCTAGGAGGAGATAACTAGATCGGAGAAGTGAAAATCTCGTTTGGATGTACCATCTTTTCATAAAAAACAAAAGACGAGAGTTTTTTATTCTCCTGTTTAATGAAAGGCCTAATGAGTTTTGCCTACACAATCGGTAATCCTCTTACACAATCACAAATCCTCGTATCATCATTCTTAGATTTTGAAACTGATAGTTTTTAACACCAAAATCTTAACTGCTTGGATATCTTCACGAATTTAACCATTGTGGAAGGAAAAAATTTAAGCTTTATGCAATGCATAGAGTCATCAGAGTTCTCACCATCGATCAACCAAAACAGAGAAAGGCTTGCAGGCTGGAATTGTTTAAAGAATGTGCGGGATTAATAGTGTCAAAAACAAAATAGGTTGGCCCTTCACTGTATATATATATATCATACAGCGAAACTTAACTAGCCAGTGTCACACAGTTTGAAAGGTTTCTTTGTCACTAATATTATGGTTTGATATTTTTAAGTGCACCAACGGGTGGCCAAAATATATCTGATCTGCCTAAACTGTAGCAAAAGCTACCACGAACGCATACACAAGGATTCAGTTTTTTGAAAAAAAAAATTTGATTTTCAATTGAAGCCTTCTATTAGAATTCTTTAATGGAAAATATTAAATTCCTCACAAAACAATATTGTTTCTTAGCAAAAATGAAGTATTAGTTGGATGGAATTTATGATCGAATATAAATGGAAAAACTTAATTAAAATTTCTAAAACTTGAAGGAAAATACTGATAAAAAAAAATGACAGCAAAATTAACACTACTTATATCTAAATTATTAAGTAACTCCCAAAACTATTTTTTTTTATCAATCAACACCGTATGTTTCTCGATCGCCCTCCTATAGAGCAAAGGTCATGTTTTTTAGGGAAATTACCCTCTTCTATGACATCAGATTAGAGATTCAAAAACAAACTAACAATGGTCATTTCTCTCAAAAAATCATATAATAAACGTTAATATCCCATGATTTTATGGGTTTTTATCATTAATATTATATGGCTTTAAGTTTACCATATGATTTTTAAAGAGTAACGACTATTGTTGATATATTTTTTAAATCCCTAAACTGGCGTCCTAGAATTTTAACGGGTAAACTTCCCTTGAAAACGTACGAAAGACCATCTGGAAGGGTAATTGAGGTGAAGTAAACAATGTAAGGGTGAATAATATGAAAAAATAATAATTTTTGGAGTTGATTGATAAACTAGGATAGTGTGGGGAGCAATTGAGGTTAACGTTTTTTTTTTTCCCAAGCAAGAATGCTCCCAAATACGTGATAGCCTTGAATGGTGCCACACACACAGTAGCAGGAAATTTTTTATTTTTGTCTAATGAGATGTTGTTACTGTTGCAAGTTGCAACAGCACCAAGATTTCAACGATCAAATTATGGCAATTCAAAAGCAAATCAGAGGACCTTATTTTAAGCCACTTGTTCTTTGGTTTTTGTCGTTTTCTGATAAATTCTTGCATCGAATTGAATTGAATGGATTAAAATTAAATTTTATCTTTGAAATTGAAATTTCTGTCTGCAATCTAAATTCTTACCTCAAGAATTGAACCTCTACAAACAAACAACAACTACAGGACTAATCTGTTCTTATTATTTGGATTCTAAATTCAATGGTTCCAAAACATGTCATTTTAGCATTCTTATCAAGAATCATATGAAAAACAGGTATTGCTTGTGAGGAGGAAAATGAAGTTGGCATCAAGCTAGCACTTTTCTGGCCGGACTGCACAAAAAAGTTAATTACCTTCAAACTTAAGGTGATTTTTTTTTAAAAAAAAAAAATTGTATATAGATTCACAACTACGGAAATCAGGCAGGATTGGGATTTTTTATTTCTTATTTGTCAATATTTAGGAAAATAATGTTTTTGACATTTAGTTGTAATAATTCTTGAGAGACTAAGTCATGCTTCGGTGCCTGCTTTCCCAGCAACTTCTTAAATACATTATGAATTTATGTTGTTGTCTGACACCAACTGTCTCATGTTTCAATATCTACTTTCCACTGGCCAACTTGTGTAAAATAGGGGCCAGCATGTGAGAAAGTGGCCAATATTAAAATCATAGTGCATATCTTTGAAGTCCCTTGGCAAGAAAATCATTTGTCTTACATTTCCCTTCTCCTAGTCTTCCAGAAACTTGGAAGTACTCAATTTCGTTAATACCTCATATTCTTCTAGCACGGCTATACCTTGTTTTACCATGGCACAAACATCCACTGTAACCAGGAGGTAAATCCTTATTTCCTCTTTCATGCACTTATTCGAACTCCGATCTTACTCTAACTAACCACACAGCCTTTGTCTCAGGTATGCAGTTGTCACAGGAGGAAATAAAGGTGTTGGGTTTGAAATATGCAGGCAGTTGGCTTCTAATGGTATTCTTGTTGTCTTAACAGCCAGAGACGAGAAAAGGGGTCTTGAAGCTGTTCAGAAGATCAAGGACTCTGGTGTTTCTGATGATCTTTTAATTGTCCATCAGCTTGATGTTGCTGACCCCGATAGCATTGCTTCTTTGGCTGAATTTGTCAAAACCAAATTTGGAAAGCTTGATATCTTGGTAGGATAATAAATCAGTCGGATTCTAATTTTCTTGGTCTCATGTAGCTGTTGAATTCTTACGTGCATTATGACAAACTTTGAACCTTGTGCAGGTGAACAATGCGGCGATTAATGGAGTTGTGTTAAATGCTGATGTTTTTCAAAGAGCCTTTGAGCTTTATGGTGGTTGGGTAAGACTTTTTGTATTGAAATGATTTCAAGAGGAGGAGATAAGTCTTGATTATTGTTTGTAATCATCATTCTTTAGAAATTGAATGTTACAGATGGAGTAAGATTTTGTGTAAAATGCAGCCCGGAGAGGAAGTGTGGAATGAAATTGGAACTCAAAGTTTAGAGTTGGCAGAACAATGCATCAAAACAAACTACTATGGGGTAAGAGGAATGGTTGATGCACTAGCTCCGCTCCTACGGTTTTCTGATTCAGCAAGGATTATAAATGTTTCTTCAAAATTGGGACTGTTGAAGGTACGTAATGATCCTTTTACTAGATCAATTATGGTCTTGAAATCTGGCTTAATTGTTTCTCCTGAATGAAAAAAAATTTCTCGTATTACTGTTATTTCTTAGGTTTTCATGTAGCTTAGATTGTAAGTTAAAGGCATTTTCTAATCTGATTTTAAGTTTTTCCTGCTATGTGGCTTAGAATATACAAAATGAATGGGCTAGAGGTGTGTTGAATGATGTCGAGAGCCTCACAGAAGATAGAATAGATGAAGTTCTGAAGGAGTTTCTAAAAGATTTCAAGGAAGGTTTGCTTAAAACCAAAGATTGGCCTATTCATCTTTCTGCCTATTCTGTTGCTAAAGCTGCCATGAATGCCTACACCAGGATTCTGGCCAAAAGGTATCCGAATTTCCATGCCAATTGTGTCTCCCCTGGCTATTGCAAGACCGACCTAAGTACCAATACTGGCTACTTCACCGCTGCAGAAGGAGCTGAAGGTGCTGTGAGGTTGGCTCTGCTGCCTGATGGAGGCCCTTCTGGTTTTTACTTTTATCAGAAAGAAATGCTGACATATTTTTGACTCAAAATGAAATATTGTAGAATCAAATGCTAGGATTTCATGGTGTTGATGTATTTTATATAACAGGATTGATGTCCTATGGCAAATGCAATTCTGTTATTGCTCGTGTCCGAAATCCTGGAAATCCTTGACACCTAACGCCAGGTGGGAATTAGTAAATACTTTTGCTAAATATAAAGTTCTATAAGATTTGCGTTGGCGTACTAAATACTGGTTTGAGCTAAATCTATGCTTATGAATGAGACCAATTGACTATCTTTCACTTCACATACTGCCAAGTAAAGCAGGCATCAAGACGTCCCAATTGGTTTCAGGACCTTTTACAGTGAATTGAGGATGGAAATCCTAGCAGACAGGTATAGGAAGTTTCAAATTACAGATAATGTTTACTTTCCAGCATCCTACTCCTTTCCCATAAACCCCTCTATTTCTGTCCCGATAAATTTTGAACCCAAAATTTCCAAGTTTTATCCAGAATTCCCAACTTTCGCTCAACAATATCCAATGTCTATCATAGAAACATTGGTTAAGTTTTCCTTTCGGAAAACATTGCAAAGAAGACCCTGCTCCAATTCAAAGACACGTGCACTTATGCTGTTCTCGTGGGCAAGCAGCTAGCAATGAACTACTCACTCTACAAATTTGCTAATTTTCCCACAATGATTTCCACAAAAATTTTCATGAGTTCCATCAACATCAAGACTTTCACAAATCACTTTGAAGCAGTAGTCCATAACGTAAATAATCTCTTTCATGTGAAGATAATACAAACATATATGCCATATATGCCAATCAACCTGGCCACTCAACCATTTTTGACATTTGCACATCAAAAAATTCGAATGGCTAATGGCTTATTAGGCTGAGGCTGCCTTTATCTGTATACCCTGAGTCCCTGACATAAATGTAGGCCAGCCTCTTAGCTTCCATCTCAGAATCAGTATAAACGAACAGCCATGCAAGTTTCCCATCTGCATTTTCGTTATTTCTCAATGGCCAAAAAACTAGAATGAAACTAAATTCAATATATTAGACAGTTTCCGCAAGGCAAGTGTATCGGACAGAAGTCCATTTTATTGGATATTCTCCAAGAAATTTCTACAATATAAGCAAAAAGAAAATTGATATAATCAAGTATCCCCCATCCCAGAACATGAAAGGGCCAGCTAGTACTGAAATGATTGCTAAGGATATTCATCCAAGAAGATAACAGTTAAATTACATGCCTGGATCTGTATGCTAGGCTAAATTTGGGAAGATTGTGGACACTTGCATCGATTTATAATATACGCCAAGCTATTTTGTCAAATTATCAGTATCACGAACAAGCTTCATTGAGGGAAGAGCGATTGCAGCCACTGGTTTATTCTCAAACCCGCCACCTTCATCAATAATCAATCTAAGACCTTCAATATGAAGTTTCCCATGGTGGCCGCTAACCACAATGGTTGGTTTCTCGGTTAATTCCTGGGAGAAATTAATCATCAAAAATCCACATTTCAGTCATATACCGAATGGGAAGACCAATGATATATAATGTCTTGAATGTGTAAAGCCATCAACATCAAGTCATTTCCCACTAAAGAAAGTTGCTAGAGATTAGGATCAAACAGTTTCAGCACAAGAAAGTACTTGAAATTTTTAGATAAAATAAATAATAGAAGGTAACAAACCATCACCTTTGGGATATCCCAAACACTTTTCCTCCCACTAAGAGCCTCTATCTTGGGCACATGAGTCTCCTTAGCTTTCAAAAATTTCAGCTGTTCGTCCACATTTTTCCCTTTCTCTAAACCAGCATGCACGGCAATCAATTTACAGTGTTTAATTCCTCCTTCATCCTCTATACACACGTCATCCTGGGAAAGAAAATTGAACATTATGAACCCACTAATCACCATAGATCAAATCAAACTACCAAAAAAAATAAAAAACATGGAAATTACTAATCAAAGACTGCATACATAATAAACTGAGCTGATCATCTTGATTTCTTTGGCAATTGACATCATAATCCTTTTCAAATAATCATTCATCAAAGTTGTAAACGATAAAAGTGGCAACGAAATGAACTTTACCTCTTCATGGACCCAAACCATATCAGCCAGAAACTTCTTGTGATCATCAGGAACCGCCTTCATTAAGTCTGTCTCAATACAAAATTTAGTTCAATAAGATCACAATATTAATCGCATCAAATGCAAAACCATCTCGAGCTTGACAATGTAAGAATCCAAACATTCCAATCCTTCAGTCTACCAAAACAAAATTTATCCTTTATTATCTTACCTTCACAATTAACATTAAAGAACTATGAGTCAAACAACTGAAACGCAATCCACTCAGTTCAAAAACTGATAAACTCAAAGAGCCCATTTCACATGGAACAGCTAAAAAACAATATTATGTCAAAAAATTCAAAGAAAGCTAATAATATCAAAACATACCAGAAGATCCATGAGGGACACCATAAGAAGTGAAAGTGGGACCAGCATCATAAATAGAGCCCTTATATTCAGTCCCTTTAATAGTATTAAAGCTAACCTTAATATGACCAGCCCACCTTCTCCCTTGCAAATGCATATTTTCATAACCATCTCCTTTATACCACCCTTCTCTGTCCTCACTCTCTTCATACTCCTTCCATCCTTCCTTAAATAACGCCCCGTTTTGTGGCTCAGGCACAACACCGACAAAAGCAGCGAAAGCAAAGTCATGATTGCCTGAAAGAAACACGTGCTTTTGAGTCGGGTACTTTGAAGGTAAGTTTATTAAGAAATCTAGGACTTTCTTGGTATCTGGGCCTCTGTCACAGTAATCGCCTAAGAAGATGATTGTTGCAGTGTTAAAGTCTAGTGGTTCGAATTGGGTTTCTAGATTTGACCACAAATTTTGAAGCTTTGTGATGTAGCCATGGATGTCGCCTATGCAGATTACCAATCTGGGTTTTGTGGTGCTGCTGTTGTTGCTTGGCTCTGCCATTTGGTTCTCTTGTGTTCTTTGATTGAGAAAGAGAATTTTGATTCTAATTTGGGCCTTCGTCTACACGCATATACAATATTATTGGTTTTTATTAAGAGTTCAAAAGACAAAGTAAATGGCTCATAACAACTCTTCCGTTTGCGACTTATACCATGGATGTCATGTATGTAAGTGCAACACACTACAGAAAATTATCTTTGGTTCGGAATTAGTAATCGGAGATTAACAAGTGTTAAAGATGTACTTAATAAAGCAGTTAAAATGTAGACAACGCACAAATAAAAATATTAAGCATGTTTGGTAAATATGTAGAATTTAAAGAGTTAATATATATATATATATGTGTGTGTGTGTGTGTGTGTGTTATAGGTACCGCATGCTCTAAAATCCAAACAAATATCTAGCTATACTATCGAAAGTACAAAACGAAGATAATTATCTAAAAAGTTTTCTGTATGCATAAAATTTTGAATTTGAAATTATTTATTTAAGCCATCAGAACTTTTTTACTCAAACCAACTCTCTTAAGTAAAGTTAAGAGCTAATAATGGGATTCAATTATAATTTTAAAAGACGGTCATTACATAACGTAACAATTATTATATAATGGTTTCGGAATATTTTGTTATCATTATTCGATGTTATGAGTGATCCGACATCATTTCACGAGATATAATGACAAATAACGACCTAATCGTTATATAATACCGTTATTTGTCGTTATATGACAACATTATACATAAAATAAATAAATAAATAAAAATCAATCATTTAAGATTCAAAGTTTTAGACTTTATTTTGTTAGAGAATAAGAATCAAATACTAGAGTTATAGGCTTGATTGAATAAATATTAAATTAGTCCTTTTATTTTGAAAAAATAAATTAGTTAGTCCTTTTTATTTTAAAAACCAATCATTTAGTTATTTTCTAAATTTTATTCCTTTTTGTTTAGAAAAAAAATGAAAAAATAAATCTATATCATGAAAAGATTGATGAAAAAAAACATTTGTGAAGTAAAATATATTACATTAAGCACGATTAAAATATTAAATAATTAATTTTAAAAACATTAAGGACTAATTAATTCATTTATCGAAACTAGAGAGGCTAATGTATGATTTACTTTAGATTGTCTTTCTTGTGTGCAGGTGCAAGAAATTCAAAGGCTTGCAAATGTAGGCTTTAATTGAGTAAATTATAAATTAGTCCATTTAGTTTGAAAAAATAAAGTAGTTGGTCCTTTTTATATCAAAAAATAATTATTTAGTCATATTTTTTAATTTTATATTATTTTCTAATTTTTTTCTTCTTTGTTCTAAAAATTAGAAGAAAAAAAAATTTACATCATGATAAAATGGGTAAAAAAAAATTATGAAATAAAATATCTTACATTAAACGCAATCAACACTCGAATAAATTTATATGAATTAAAATTTGTTATTATTTATTAATATATTTAATTAATAGAAGTGTTAAAAACACATGAATTAAAATAAATTTATTAACGAGTTGTTAATGTATTTATAATATCGCTTATTGTAGCTGTTATTTTATCATCGTGATTTGCAATTATTTTTTCAACTCGCGACCGTTATTTAAAACAATGAATCCAATGATTATGCAAAGATAAATGAAAATGAAAGTGAAAAATAAAACTTTGAAAATGCACAAATTCCAAACAGGCAAATACCCTGAGGTAAGAAGGTAATCTCGTTTGACTTAAAGAAAATATTTCTTTTAAATATATCAAATTTCGATGTAATGTTTAAACTTTTAAAACCCAATTTAAAAAAAAAAAAAACTTACTTGAAGTGCAGATAAGAATAATATTCAAATTTAAAATCAAATCTTTGTCAGTGAATATGGTCAAAGCTGTTAAGCGCAACAAACATCACTTTGTAAGAAGCATTCTTTTTAAGAATAATTTAATGTCGTTGATCAATCTCTATTTTTATGTCTTATTATAGAATTATAAACTTACAAATATTAGCGTTTATGATAATATTTATTTAGTGTCTTTAATTAATATAAATTTTTTCTTTTTTATAAATACCTTTTTTTTTAATTCAACCCAATAAAAAAAAATCTAATAAATGCATTTATATAATATTTAAAATAGTTTCTTAAAGACAACTTTTAGCTTTAACCTTATAATGAACATTATTTCATTTTTATATGTTGGAATTCTTTGAAATTTATGTTTTGTATGTTAAAATTCTTGTTTTATAAATTCTCTTTCCCGACATTGAAATATTTTTTTCTTTACAAGTCAGAACAATCTTTATTCGGAGAAGGGTCATATGAAATCTTATATTTTTTGAGTGAGAAAAAATGTATATAAATAGTTTGATTTAAATTTTAAAAAGTTGAATTGGCGATTAAAAGAGTTTACTTATTTTCTTGATTTTTTAAGTTTAAATTTTAAAATCACCATTTGAGAGAAATTTATTAAAATTTTTTTAAATGCATCATACTGAAATAGGAGATCCATCTTTAAATTTATTCAGGAAAAAATTAATAGTAATTGACATATAAACTTATCCAAAAATATATTTATTGTAAAAAAAATAATTAAAAAAGCTTGATCTATAACACATTTTTTCCTCCAGCACAACTCAAATTCCAGATGCCACGTGTAGAGCCTGTTACATTTATTGGTAGAATTAATGTTATTATTAACTGAAGGTCCAACTAATCACGTAGAGTAGGAGGATAATACGAGGACAAATAAAATTTAACCAAGGAGTAAAAGAAAAAAAAAAAAAGATAAAAGCAAAGAGGCCAAACACAACATTAGCCCGCTTACTTGCATTCCCAGGGCAATCCAGAACTAGGAGGCAATCAATTCAAATGAGAACCTATAGCCTATTGGCCCAATCAAATGGATATTGGGCTTTTCTAATAGCCTTAGCATCCCCTACCTTATAGGCCCAATCACATTGATATTGGGCTTTCCTAATAGCCTTAGCATTCCTAGACATTGACTTGTAAAACGGGCAAGTCTGCAAAGATCTGCTTCTTTAAAATATTTTCTTCACCTTCTCATGTTTAGATCACTCATAAAAACTTAGTTAATATAGACTACTTTACGCTAAAAGGTAAAACAAGCTTGAAATAAGAGAAAATGATTTACAATTTTCAAAAGATGAAAATATTTTATGATTTTATCTTTATCATTGAATTATGAATCACATCACCAAGCAAGTTTTATCCTTTTTTTTTTTTTAACATTTATTTTCCATATATATAGATATATCATATACGAACAATTATTTTTAAACAGTTTTTATTAACACATCCAAACAATTAAAAATTATATTTGTATTTAAAAAAAATTTAATTTGGAAAAATCTTTTTCAAAAACAATTATCTTACCTGAAATAAATGAAAACTAAACTTTTTTCGGATCAAATTTTAAACAAGTCATTCCCATTGAGATCAGTTAACAAAAAGTATTTTATTGCAATATTCTCTCCTGTAATTCCCCATAAATGATAATTGAGGTTCGAGCTATATGATCCTATAATCCATGCTCAAGAACAATACGAGAACAATAAAATGAAGCTTGCCAGCTTTTGATTTTTCTGATTTTGAGTCAAACTTTACGGGCTACATACGTTCAAAAAAATCAACTTTAAGACTTTTTTGATTTTTTTTTTTTTTTTTTTTACTTTCTTTTATAAATTTATATGACTAAGAAATCATCAAGTTTATTTTGGATTCTTTGTAGGAAAAGAAAAATGATTTTGGCGTTAATTACGATTCTTGGAAGGACTAGATTACTAACAAACGTGTAATAAATAGTGTATATAACTTATGCGGGAGTCCGGTGCCAACTTCCACTGGAAGTTTTAACATTGGCCAGTAGGGGCTGGCACATGGGAAAGTGAAAAACACAAGAATAATTAGTTTTAATGTATTCTAAAATTTTAGTCACGGATATTTTTTATTTTTTTATTAATTCGAAAATCATTTTTGTTAATCAGAATGGACTCTAGTTTTTTTTTGGCATATTTTTTTTTTGAGTAAATTATAAATTAGTTTCTCAAGTTTCAAGAAACAAATTATTTAGTGTTTTGAAAACTATTATTTAACTATTTAATCAGTATTAACTTCGGTTATTTTAATATTATTTTTATTCTATACAATTTTTTATTTTCTCATCAATATTTTTATATTTTTTTAAAAAATTAAAATAAATTAAAAAAGAGTTAAAAAGACTCAATTATAAATAGATTTTAAAATATAATGATTAAATAATTAATTTTAGAAAAAAAATTAATTAATTCTTTTTTCAAAATGAGAGAGGCTAATTTATAATTTATTCTATTTTTTTTTTTTTTTTTGCATGTGATAGTAAAATGGTCCTATAAAAAAACACGTGTTCTATTATGGCAGAATAACTTAAGGATTTAAAATAACAAGTTAACCCCCACTTCCAAATTAAAAAAATAAGTACGCGAAATCAAAATTCTTAAATTCATTTTCAATCAACAGAGCAAGAGAGAGACTATTGAACTTTCAGATATTTGTTGAGAGAAAAGAGTGTGTTTCACACTTAAAACGACTGAGGAATTTCTACACTTCTTTAAAATGACTACAATGTCATCTGCCTTTTCACCGATAAATTCCTCAAAAAAAAAAAAAAATTCGACGAACAAGTAAGTCTTGATTCAATAGCTGTGTCTCTTGAACAATAAACACCAACAGATCAAAATGTCTCAAGCACCGTCAAATGTGTACCTCTCTCTTCATCTGTCGTCAAAAAGAGCTTCTTCAAGAATCCCTTATGGCATAGCACTTAGCTACACCCGCAAGCACAAGATCAACAATAAAATGAAGGCCGTTGCAGCAGAGAGCAGAGACTATCTTGACCATTTGCAGAGAGCCATGAAGAACCCCCAACAATCTCAGCTTAAGAAAAGAGTAGCTCCTGCAGCACCAATAGGTAATTAATCGATAATGAAATCTCAAATAATATCCAAACTGGAACGTAAAAAACTTTGAGACACTTACTTACTGAATTTGTTGGTTTCTTCTTGGCAGGGTTATGGAGAGGTTTCCTACTGCAAGAACAGTGCAGCAGATGATGGAGACGATGGTGGAGGATCCATTTGTCTATTCAGGTGGATGGCCATCATCATTACCTGTAAAGTTGAATCGTCTCTCTCTTTGTTGATTATGTTGATCAAGAATGAATTTAGGGCTTTTGATTTCGTGCGTTTTCTTTTAATTTGAAATCGTTAAGTTATTCTGCAATCAGTAAACGTGGCATAACAGGACATGTGCCTTTCATTTATTGGGTCATTTCATAATCACATGCAAAAATTTACCCTTGATGTTTGTTGATGGAAAAGCTAGACTCGATTGCTAACTTAAAAGAAGTTTGGTCTTCAAATCGAAAAAATCAAAAGTTGAGTACCAATCTCCTTTTGACAAAAAATTCAGGATACTTCAGAACCAATTAGCCTACGTATAAAGATAGAGTCTATTTAAAGTTTCTTACAATCTGTTAAGAAAGTCAATAAGTTCTGCATTAATTATTTTTAAAATCATCTCATAGTCATCTTCATATTATCAGCCACGGCTCAAGAGTCCACCATTCATGCAACAAAGAGGTAAATATTATGCTCTTTCATTTTTTTATTTTTATTTTTGGAGTTTTTAAGAAAACAATGACTTCTTTAAAGTATCTCTGTCTCAGGTACGCAGTAGTGACAGGAGCAAATAGGGGGATTGGATGTGAAATATGTAGGCAGTTAGCCTCTAATGGGATTTTGGTGGTGTTAACAGCCAGAGATGAGAAAAGGGGTCTTGAAGCTGTTCAAAAGCTGAAAGACTCTGGTATCTCTGATGATCTTGTGGTTTTCCATCAACTTGATGTGGTTGATCCTGGTAGCATTGCTTCCCTTGCTGAATTTGTGAAAACCAAATTTGGAAAACTTGACATCTTGGTATGAGTAATGAATTTCTTGGGTTATAATCCTCTGATTTTTCTGTTTATCTGATAATTTTTTGAAAATTTTGGAACCTTGTGCAGGTGAACAATGCTGGGGTTGCTGGAGTTGTACTAAAGGCTGATGCTTTTCTAAGAGCCTTTGAACAAACTGGTGATTTTGTAAGTCTTTATATTGAAATGACTCCAAGAGGAGGATATAAGTCATAGACTTAATCACTGTAGATGTTCCGAGAGTTCAACATTGCTTGTGCTAGCCAGATTTTCATAGACCAGGAACCAGGCATTGAGAATAACTGATTGTAATCATCATTTAGTGATACTGAGGCTCCTTAGAATAGTAAAGTAAGTAGATCTTACATTTGCTAATTCTTTCGTGCAAATACAGCCTAGTGGAGAGCAAGCGTGGGCTGAAATTGGAACTCAAAGTTATGAGATGGCAGAACAATGTGTGAAAACAAACTACTATGGTGCAAAAGGAATGTTACAAGTACTTGCTCCCCTCCTACAGTTGTCTGATTCACCAAGGATAGTAAATGTCTCTTCACTGTTGGGGCTTTTAAAGGTACGGGACTGTCTTTCAATTATGAAATCTTGGTACTTTGATCCAGATCGAAACTAGCAGTTATCTTGTTTCAATATTTGGCTGAGTTATTTCTCCTTTCCAAGGAAACCCAAATTTGAGTTCCAGACTGTTTGATATACAGTAACATTTCGATGCTTTCTTATTATGAATTATCCTGCTTTCTACATGGCAATGTCATTGAACACAACTGCTAGAAGACACATATTTCTTTATTAATCTGTATGTCATTTTTTCCCCGCTTGGCTCTGGCATGAACACCTTGTTTCGCAAATTCCAAGTTGTTTCCTGTATAGCTTCTAACAATTAGCATATAGGGATGCTATTATATGTCAAATTGTGTTTCATTTAGCTCAGAGACTAGTAGTTGCAGCATTTTTACAGGCAGTTTAACCCAAGTTTTTCCTGTTACGTGGATCAGAACATACCCAGTGCATGGGCCAAAGGATTGTTGAATGATGTTGAAAATCTCAATGAAGATAGAGTTGATGAGGTTTTGAACGAGTTTCATAAAGATTTTAAGGAAGATTTGCTGGAATCCAAAGGCTGGCCAACTTATCTGTCTGCCTATATTGTTGCTAAAGCTGCCATGAATGCCTACACTCGGATTTTGGCCAAGAAGTATCCGAGCTTCTGCGTCAATTGTCTGTGCCCTGGCTATTGTAAGACTGACTTAACTTCCAACTCCGGCCTCTTCACTGCTGCCGAAGGAGCTGAAAGTGCTGTGAGATTGGCCTTGCTGCCTGATGGTGGGCCTTCTGGTTGTTTCTTTTATCAGAAGGAAATGCTACCATGCTTTTGAATGACAACGGAACATTATAATAATGGTTCTGTAGAAAATGACTGCAAGAATTTCAAAGTTTGCTTGTTGATGTATTTTCAATTCAAGGGAGGGTAAACTGAAGATACTGTTTACATGAGAAGTTGCACTCTATCTTCCGAATATATATGGGACCAATTCATGTCCCATGGAATAAAATTCTGATAATGCGCCAATTATAAAATCCTGGAATTCTAAGCATCTGGTCACATTGGCAATAATTAGATGATATTGATGGATAAAAAAGGTTATATAACATTAGATATTATAGGATTAAACTCAGGCTAGAGCTAAATCTATGCATAGAATGAGACTAATAAGCAGCATCCTTCATTTTGTCTCACACAAATCCAGGTATGATAGGCATGCCATCAAGCCGAACTTAATTGAATTCTAATGATCAACTAAGAATTTCAACCCAACCCTGCTATCCTATTTGTATGATGGAGTACTTGCTTTCTAAATTTTGCCTCAAATCCTTGTTATCATGCGCATAGAACAGAGGCATTGCCAGTGAAGAGAAAAATGAGTTGTCCTGAATCCTGATGCTACCATAAATAAATTTCAATAGGTCAATTAATCATTTTCTTTGGTTCATTCTAACGAGTAATCGATTGGAACTAAGTTGGCATACCATGATGAAATCTGGACTTAACTAAATGCCTTCTGTAAAATGCAAACATATTTATGTCCAATTGGTAGTAAGGCAGCTTCTTGTGAAACAACAGAACAGCCCAAAGTAGTGATCTTGAATGCTTCACATCCTGTGTCTGTTTTGATTTGTAACTCTTAGAAATTGGAGATTCAGAAATTGTTAATGGTGGAAAAAGAACTGAATATTGACGTTTGTTAAGGGTGCCAAGTACTTTCCTCCTTTTTCTTTTTTGGAGTGGTGTAAAGACGTAACAATCCGTGCAAACAATATATGTGCAAGACAGACATTTTGATGCATCAGCAGATTATTGTTATGGTGTGTTAGGTTTTCAAGATTTGGAACTCGGCTGAAATAGGTAAGAAAAGAAATAAGAAACAAAGTTGACCCGTTCTCATTCATCCCACTAGAGTGTCAAGAATATACTGCTGTACTATGAAACTAACCTTAAAATTATATAAAACTGAATTCCTAATACTCATCTTTCAACGCTTCATCATCTATGGAAGAACCAACAGGTAACATCATAGCTTGTATCTCCAACACTAACTCCGACATAGCTTCTTATAATGTTAATTTCTTTTTGCTTACCACTGTTTTATGGGAAAATTCTTTTGTTAGGTATGCAGTTGCTACAGGAGCAAACAAGGGACTTGGGTGGGGAATAGTAAAATTGTTGGCGTCCAAGAACCTAACAGCTAGAGATGAAAAAGAGAGGTTTCAAGCTACTCAGAAACTGAAAGAATCTGGTCAGTCTGATAACGTGGTCTTCCATCAGCTTGATGTGATTGATCCCGCAAGTATCGCATCTCTGGCAGATTTCTTCAAGACTCAAATATGAAAACTTGATATTTTGGTAGGACAGAAAACCAATTTCCATAAAATCTTTTGGTGCTAATGTCAATTTAGTATTAATCTTTTCAATTTAATGAATGATCTAACGGTAAAAGTTTGGTGCTCTCGAGCGCCAATTAGAAGTATCCATATTTAAGTTTAGAAATTATGTTCATCTTGATTTTTCTGCTTTGATCATTCTTGAACTTAACATTCAAATGAGAGAATGGTTCAGACAGTAAAGTGTGGCCAATAGATGGTTCAGTAAATTTGGACATTGGCTATGCTAATTGCTAACAACTTCTGCTGCTATTTTTTTGTTTGTAAATAAATGTTGAATGAAATATTAATGACTGATTATCCTTGAAACATTAATAGATGACTATAATGTTACTAAGGTCAAGGGATACAGGTTCTTGAAAATAGTTGAGATGAAACTGATGATTTTTTTTCTTGTTCTTATTGCTAGAGTTTGGTAATGTAGGAGAGCTAAAACACGATGGCTGCCGGAAATCTATGCAGGTGAAAAATCCATGGATCGGTGGAACCAAAATAGATTACTGTTACTGAAGTAAGTACTTTCCTCAGGAGTTATTTCTCAGTTGAGACTAAACATGAGTTTGGAATTGACATGAAAAGCACGTTTATTTTCCGAATTAAGTTTAGAAACACTTCCATGGAGTGAATAATATGCTAATTATTATTTTTTACCGCAGAGTATGAAAGTAGAAAAGGTTAATTAGGCATGCCTTATTGTAAATTAATCCCCCCTTTACAAGGAAGGCAGAATGTTCTTGTGTATTATGGCCAATACGACGCTGAAGGCTCATAGAGATTTCAACTGGATGTCATACCTTTTTCTTGTTTGAGTTAATGATAGCAATATCCTAGCATAATGTAATTGAATTATTGGAGAAAGTTTCTAAAAACGAGTTTCTTTTTTATTTAGGAAGATCCGTGGAATGTTTGGAAGAAGGTATTAATCCAAAATAATGAGTTAGCAGAAGAGTGCTTGAACACTAGCTACTATGGTTCTAAAAGAACAGCTGAAGCTCTTGTTCCGCTCCTCCAGCTATCTGACTCCAAGGATTGTCAATGTTTATTCCTCCATGTCAATGCTGAAGGTACAATATTAAGGCAACTATCATTTAAAATAAACTTCTTTCTGTGTGGTAAGGAAAAATGAGGACTATGGTAATTGCTTAATTTGACATAAACTCACATGATTCAGCTGAAAGTAAATAT